ATCCAGTTTTGGCCACCACGCTACAAAAAGGATGTTGAGACTTTAGGGAAAAGTGCAAAGAAGAGCAACTAAGATGATCCAAGGCCTGGAGACTAAAACATATGAAGAACGGCTGCAAGATTTGGGAATGGCCAGTCTAGAGAAAAGAAGGACTAGGGGGGACATGATAGCAGTCTTCCAATATTTGAGAGGCTGCCCCAAGGTGGAGAGGGTTAATTTATTTTCCAAAGCCCAAGAAGGCAAGACGAGAAACAACGGATGGAAACTAATGAAGGAGAGAAGCAACCTGGAATTAAGGAGAAATTTCCTAACAGTGAGGACAAATAACCAGTGGAACAACCTGCCTCCAGAAGTTGTAGGTGCTCCATCACTGGAGATTTTTAAGAAAAGACTGGACGTCCATTCGTCTGAAATGGTGTAGGGTCTCCTGTTTAAGCAGAGGTCCCTTCCAGCTGTATTCTGATTTTGAGTTTTGAAGTCTCCGTGTTAAGACAGATTGACCCACAGGAACTGGGGGTTTCTCGTAATTCCCCTGTGTGAAAGTTGGGGGTTCCTTGTCCTGCATCTTCTCACGGTGAAGGCATCCCCGTAAAATTGGGACTGGACTTGGGGGGGGGGAAGGATGAATCCGCTGCTTGACAGACTTTTCTAGTCTGCCGACTCCCCTCCTTCGCCTTTCCGACTTTGTGCTTGGGGGAGAGGGGGGGCGATGTGTGGGGGAGCCTTGCAGCTGTGTAATTAGATTCTGACATCTCCTGGGTCGGCCGGGGCAATTTGCACCTCTTCTTCTGTCGGCTGCTTCTAAATTTAGCCATCTCTGCATTAGGTAAAGATCTTGTCCTCCAGACAGCACCCTTAATTGGTTGTGATGGGTGACTTCATGGCTCAATGTTCTGGAGGCATGATTAAGGAGGGTGGCGAAGGCGGCTGGCACGAGGGAAGATGCTCCGGGCGAGGGGAGGGGGTGTAAAGGTGGAGGAGGCCGACGCCAGACAGAGGGACTCCTGTAATAAGTCTTCTCGCTAACATGACACACTGTCAGTCCCTTATGAAAGGTGCCTGCAGCTGATGAGGACGTATAAATGTTGCTGGTTAGAATCTGCCTGAAACGCATGATGATCTTGAAGACTGGGGACCTCTTAAGGACAACCAGATCCTCCTCTGTGTAATAGAAACACCCCACGTGGTGATTCTTGGATGCTGGTCTTGAATGCCACCATCCCTACCATGCCTGGTTCATTGATCAGCCCTTCACGGTAGGTCAGACCCAGAAAACAGACCCTGCAGCAAAACCAGTGGTGTAGTAAAGTAGAATGACATCTGATGCAGAAGAACATCTAGAAGGGGTTGGTTTGAGTTTCTTTGTCACACTTGATCCCAACTCAGGAACGTTTAGAGTGGTCTCTTCTCCAAGTTGCTCCTTAATGTCTTTTGGAGGTCAAAGGAAGAAGTAAGGAGGAGGAGGAGGAGGAGGAAGAGAAGAAGAAGAAAGGAAGAGGAGGAGGAGGAGGAGGAGGAGAATGAAGAATGGAGGAGGAGGAAGAGAAGGAGAAGAAAAGAGGAGGAAGAAGGAGAAGGAAAAGAAGAAGAAGATGATGAAAGAAGAAGGAGAAGAAGAAGAGGAGGAGAAGAACAATGAAGAAGGGGAAGGAGGAGGAGGGGGAAGAGAAGAAGAGGAGGAGGAGGAGAGTGAAGAAGAAGAAGAAGAAGAAGAAGAAGAAGAAGAAGAAGAAGAAGAAGAAGAAGAAGAAGAAGAAGAAGAAGAAGAAGAAGAAGAAGAAGAAGAAGAAGAAGAGGAGGAGGAGGAGGAGGAGGAGGAGGAGGAGGAGGAGGAGGAGAAGCTTCAAGGGCAGTCTATCTGATCCACAGTTGTTCGATGGAAGCATTTGGAGAGAAGCCTCCCTGCTCCATTGGTGGAAATAACGTGTGGGTGAATTTGGGGGGCAAAAATTGTGTTTGGCAGCCATTTGTGAAAAGGATGGAGAGTTTTTGAACAGAGCAACGTTACTTCATCCATCTGCCTTCTCCCCTTGGCCCAGATCCATGAACTTTCAACCCAGCGTGACCCCAACCAGCCACCAAACATTGCTGGAATTGCTTTGACTGTTTCATGAGAGGTCGAATCTATGTGAACTTTGGGAGAAAGAGTGGATGATGGAAACCACCTTCCTGAACAGGTGGAGCCCTTCAAGAATAAGCTCTGAATTTCCTTTCAGGGGGTCAGACTTGATGCCCTCCCGGACCTTCCCTTCTCCCCAATTCCCTTGAGTTTTTGTGCAGCCGTGGCAAGCTCCTCCTTCCTCTCTGCTCCTTTGGAAGCAGAAATGCCCCAAATTTGGCAAACACCGCATGGCAGGACTGCAAACCCCTCACCAGCTACGCTGTTATATTCTGCTGTATAAAGTGGCTTTGCTCCATTATTTAAATCTGCAGCTAGACTCCGGAGCGCCTGCATCTATATTTTTCTTTCCCTCTTTCTCCATTTATCTCTTCCCCGTAGTTATCTCTTTCTTTGGGACTATTTCTCTTCCCAGTTCATTTTTCTCGCCTTGGGATACAAATCTGCACGAATACAAGAAAGATGGAGAGGATCCTGCATCCCTTGGAATGAATTGTGATGTGACGAAGCCGGGAGTTCTTGAAATTGCTTCGAGGGATGCCTAAGGAGGGAACAGGGCCATCGTTTGAGCTGGAGAGGGTCTTCCAAGAAGCAATTTCCACACCAAAAGGGAAGGAGTTGTGTGCAAGATGACTTCTTAAGGGTGCCTGTCCACCCATCTTTCTCGGTCCTGACCGTCAACTGGAGGATCCAAGTTTCCTTCCCATTGCTGCAGCCTCTTGAGACTCCACCGCCGGAGCAAATGACGTCCAAGGCCCATCGCTTGTCATAAATCAGCCGGCTCTGCTAATTCCAGTGTCACGGCAGCGGTGTTCGCCAGCTGGGGCTCCCAACCCCACAGAGCTGACCTGGTTTTTAATAAAGGAAGATGGACACCCCACGGAAAGGAGAGAGAGCTGCGCATTTTCGACCGAGCACATCGGCGGAGATTTCAGGAGAGGCTTTGAATGACTTCACAAAAAGGATTTGTGGTCCTCCAGAAGTTGACAAACTACAAGTCCCATCCCTCTTGGCCAACGGCCATGCAGGCAGGGCTTCTCCCCGTGACAGTTTTTTTTAAAAATTGTTTTATTATTATTATTATTTTAAAAATTCCATTTCTACATTGAACAGTGCATTGTCTAGGTCAGGGGTAGGCAACCTTGGCTCTTTTATGACTCGTGGACTTCAACTCCCAGAATTCCTGAGCCAGCATGGGGGAACTATGGCCCCCTCATGACTCGTGGACTTCAACTCCCAGAATTCCTGAGCCGGCATGGCTCAGCTTGGAAACCTCTCCCTTTCCCCTCAGCGTGGCTGGCTCAGGAATTCTGGGAGTTGAAGTCCACCACTCATAAAAGGGCCAAGGTTGCCTACCTCTGGTCTAGGTATACAAGTATTAAAATATAATAACCATCACGTTCATAATAATCTTATCAAAGTACAATCATATACTAGGAAATAGCAATCAAAATATTAAAAATGGTATTACCCACATGAACATTAGTTATATAACAATCGAAGCATTTACTAATCCGTTATACATCGTGCTCACATAATCCACATATTCTCTCATATTCCTAACTTTGTAATCTCTGTTTTTATCAGCTAGCCATTGGTAAAATAAGTCCCGTGTCATATAAAATCCTTTTTCTTCTTTCATTTTTAATGTTAATCTATCCATCTCTGTGCATCCCATGACAGTTTTAATTGCATTAAGACATTTGTGTGTCCCACAAATCCATACCACTTGAGAAGCAGCTTTTCATAGGCTTGAAAATATGGTGAACATAATAATAATGATGGCTTATTATGGTAGCTGCCCAGAGTCGCTTTATAGGGGAGATAGGCGTCATAAAAATTTAATAAAATAATAGCAGTTTTTCTTTGGTTGATGGATTGATTTCTATAGCCGTCCAGGGTCATTTGCTGAGATGGGCATCTATAGAAGTCAAATAAATAAAGAATGCTATTATTAACTAAACTTTTACGACCTCCACCCCCCCCCCCTGTGGGTGGCTATCATAATAAGCCATCATTGGAGTTTAGGTGCATCATAAACCATTCCATCTGTCTTATTTCATCTGTTTTTCCTTGGCTGAGCTTGGAAGAAAAAGCTTTCTATTTTTCCAAACCACTTGCAAAACAAAAAAAAAATGGCTTTGTGATCACAACCACAGGGGGATGAGAGACTTTGCTGCAGGGTAGGGGAAAAAAAAATACACCACACTAGGTATTGACTTATTCTTTGCTGGGTCTGCATTTCCTAGCTCATAAAAAGCACTAGCAAAAAAAAGAAAAGAACTAAAAACTTTCCATGGGGCGAAACGTCCTACTTAAAACCCTGAAAACTTAAAACTATTCCACGTGTAATTGCTACCAAGGCGAGCATGTATTTTTAAGAGAGAACTTAAAACATTTGTGTCTTTATCACTTCAGTAATAGAGTTGGGGAGTTGGGGAATAACTTGGAAAAATAAATCTCTGTAAGTAATGGAAGAAACTGTGCACTCTCTCCAAAATGTCCATTCTGTAGCGGAAGGCCTTGGTTTTTTTTTTTTTGCTTTGGTTTTTCTGTCTTTAGAATTCTGCATTCTGCATTTCTGGCATAACCTGAAGATGACCTTCACCTCTTTTTTCAATCCATTCTCCTTTCCTTTCTCCAGATGTTCTCCAGTTTGCCAATGGGGTGATGTGCAAGGGGCAGTTTTTCCCCATTTTAGAAGGAAATCTGACAGAGGGGAACGCTAGCACTACTGTGGGTTCCCGATGCATCTCACCCACTTCACTAGGACTTTCAAGCTTCAGGAGGTCTTGGAGAAACCTCTCCAGTTGACCTCACTCCTCGGACGATGCTCCTGGTCGATCAAATGAGTAACAAATGTTCTTCCTTCTCCCACCAGCACCTCCCACATCCATCTCCGTCATTGCTGCGGACACTCCAGCTCCCTTCAGCCGCTACCAAGCCCAGAATTTTACCTTGGTTTGCCTTGTCGCTGGTGGAAAACCTGCCCCCACGGTAAGTTTGGATAAGCATGGAATAGGAGCCATCCGTGTGCTGCAGCTGCCAAAAGAGCTGGGCTGCATTAACAGAGGGACAGAATCAAGATCACGTGAAGTGTTAATACCACTTTACAAGGCCTTGGTAAGGCCACACTTGGAATACTGCATCCACTTTTGGTCACCACGATGTAAAAAAAGATTTTGAGACTCTAGAAAGAGTGCAGAGAAGAGCAACAAAGATGATCAGGGGACTGGAGGCTAAAACATATAAGGAACAGTTGCTGGAATTGGGTCTGTCTAGTTTACTGAAGAGAAGGACGAGGGGGAACATGATAGCAGCCTTCCAGTATCTCAGGGGCTGCCCCAAAGAAGGGGGAGTCAAGCTATTCTCCAAAGCGCCAGAAGGCAGGACAAGAAGCAACGGATGGAAACGAATCAAGGAGAGAAGCAGCCTAGAACGAAGGAGAAACTTCCTGACAGTCAGAACAATTAACCAGTGGAACAACCTGCCTCCAGAAGCGGTGAATACTCCAACACTGGAGGTTTTTAAGAAGAGACTGGACAGCCATTTGTCTGAAATGGTATATAGGGTTACCTGCCTGAGCAGGGGGTTGGACTAGAGGACCTCCAAGGTCCCTTCCAACTTTATTATTATTATTATTATTATTATTATTATTATTATTATTATTATTATTATTATTATTATTATTATTATTATTATTATTATTATTATTATTATTATTATTATTATTATTATTATTATTATTATTATTATTATTATTATTATTATTATTATTATTATTATTATAGAAGAAGAATCTCCACCTCTAAACCCTGTTAAGGCATCTCTCTGTCTCCTTTTCAACTTTAATCACCCCCATTGCAGCTCACGAGACTTTGAAGTAAGGACTGTTGGCCTGGTCTTCTTGAGATGGGTCTCCAGTTTTCGCTTCAGTCCCAGTTCATAAACAGGGTGGATCCAAAGCACGTCGTAAGAGAGCACATGATCCCTACAAAATCCAGTTTAAAAAAAAATAAAATCTGAACTCAAGCTAATTGGCTGAGAGAGGCCTCCAAATATTCAATCAATTAGAATGGAGCTGGGAGGGACCTTGGAGGTCTTCTAGTCCAGCCCTCTGCTTAAGCAGGAGACCCTAGATCAGGGGTCTTGAAACTTGGTCCTTTTATGACTTGTGGACTTCAACTCCCAGAATTCCTCAGCCAGGCACATTGGCTGAGGAATTCTGGGAGTTGAAGTCCACAAGACATAAAAGGACCACGTTTGAAGACCCCTGCCCTAGATCATTCCAGACAGATGGCTGTCCAGTCTCTTCTTAAAACCCTTCAGTGATGAAGCACTCACAACCTCTGGAGGCCAGCTGTTCCACTGGTTAATTGTCCTCACTGTCAAGAAGTTTCTCCTTAGTTCTAGGTTGCTTCTCTCCTTGATCAGTTTCCATCCGTTGCTTCTTGTCCTGCCTTCAGGCGCTTTGGAGAATAGCTTGACCCTCTCTTCTTTGGGGCAGCCCCCCAAATAATGGAAGACTGCTATCCTGTCCCCCCTCTAGACTAGCCAAAGACAAATCCTGCAACCGTTGTTCATGTGTTCATATGTCGCCAGGCCTTTCTGTCTCCCCTTTTTTAAAGCCCCCCCAAATTGCCCGGAGCACCCATAGAGAGTGGGCACCCCTGTCTTCCCATCTGGAGATTAAAAAAAAGGACTCCCACTTCAGTTGTCATCCACCTGGATACTGGTGGTCCTCACTTACCGACCGCAGTATGGACCATTTCACTTAACAACTTGTGTAATGTATGCCGGTTGTCGGGCGCCCAAATTTTGATCCTGCGTTGTAAGGTGGAGGAACGGTGGTTAGAATTTTTTCAGTGCCGTTGTCATTTCCGATTGGTCGCTAAACAAATAGTCGTAAGTTGAGGACTACCTTATTAAACAGGTCTTCTGCTGCAACATCCTTTTCTGCACAGCCTTGGAACAGATATTTTATCCTTTCTGGAGTTGTTGTTTTTTTCTCGTGGTTTGGTTTCCTTCCACCCACCCTCTCTCCCGTTTAAATCATGTTCCTGGTAGTGGGATATCTTTATCCAGACAGACAGGATGCTGTGAAACGGTAGGGAACGGTGGGGAAGCCTTGAGTTCCAAACATCCTGATAATAATTTCTGCTTATTAACTCAGAAGTCGGAAAGCTCTACATTTGGAGGAAAACGCGAAGAGAGGGAGGGGTGAGGAACAACGCTTTTTAGTGGCTGCTTCTGTCTCCCCACCTGGAAGAGAGAGAGAGAGAGAGAGAAAAATCCACTTATCCGCAAACATTCCCGAGGCTGTTTCATTACAGCGTGACATCAGACGCTTGAAAAGAAGTTTTAGGAAACGCGGCACAATCTTCTCTTCAGAGAAACAGTCAGAAAGACTTAAGCAGGCGTTGCGTTCCTCGCTGCTCCAGCTACACAAACACGGCCCCCTGTTGCGTCGCGCAATCTTATTTGCAATAGACATCCCCGCCGACACAGTGGGTCCCCTGGCAGAGTTGGGTGTGTGTGGGGGGGTGTGGGTGTGCCCTCTTTGGAGGAACTGGTTTCTTAACCAAATGTTTACCCTGAATTTAAACCGATCCTATATTTTCCTCCTGGTGGTCCAGACTCCACCTGATGTGGTCTTAAGCCTTTTTCATATACAGGCAGACCTGGACTTAAAACAATTCATTTGGTATAACCAGAGTGGGAAGAGACCTCAGAGGTCTTCTAGTCCAGGGGTAGGCAACCTTGGCTCTTTTATGACTTGTGGACTTCAACTCCCAGAATTCCTGAGCCAGCCATGCTGAGGGGACAGGGAGAGGTTTCCAAGCTGAGCCAGGCTGGCTCAGGAATTCTGGGAGTTGAACTTCACGAGTCATAAAGCGGCCTAGGCCTAGGCCAGAGGTAGGCAACCTCGGCTCTTTTATGACTCGTGGGCTTCAACTCCCAGAATCCCTGAGCCAGCCATTCTGAGGGGACAGGGAGAGGTTTTCAAGCTGAACCAGGCTGGCTCAGGAATTCTGGGAGTTGAAGTCCACGAGTCATGAGGGGGCCATAATTCCCCCATGCTGGCTCAGGAATTCTGGGAGTTGAAGTCCACGAGTCATGAGGGGGCCATAGTTCCCCCATGCTGGCTCAGGAATTCTGGGAGTTGGAAGTCCACAAGTCATGAGGGGGCCATAGTTCCCCCATGCTGGCTCAGGAATTCTGGGAGTCCACAAGTCATAAAAGAGCCAAGGTTGCCTACCCCTGTTCTAATCCAACCCTGTTGATTCTTATCCACCGCCAATTTGCTCTAACCGTTAGTCGTTCGGTTAGAAAGTGTTAGCTAGCCTGCAATAAGTCTGTGGTCATTTGAACAGCCTTGGTGTGCAGGATGACACGCTTGACCCTTTTCCTCAAGCTGAGCCTGGTCATCTCTGACGCCTTTCTAGACTGTGTGTAAAATCGTCAAGTAGTAAGGAAGGGCCTTTAATCTCTCAATGCCTTTCCTCCTCCAGGTTTACTTTAAGAGGGACGGAGAATTGATACACGGTATCCCTCTGACGGAGCCCCCGGTTAACGCCGCCGGGTTGCAGGACAGCCGAGCTGCCCGGAACCTCTTCCATCGGGATATGGACGACACCAAGATGCAGCAGTCTCTCTCCCTGTTGAACGTGGAGGACCGGGGTGGGAGGCTTTACACCGAGAACCCCTTCCACAGCCTCACCGCCGACCAGGGACTGTTGCTTAGCCCCACCACCGAAAACATCCCCGAGACTGTAGTGAGCCGGGAGTTCCCACGGTGGATCCAGAACGCCGACCCTACGTATTTCTTCCACCACACCCACATCCCCATCAGTGATGGCACCGTGGAGGTGCGGGCCATGCTTATGTGGACCCTTAATCCTCAGATAGACAATGACGCGCTCTTTAGTTGTGAGGTCAAGCACGATGCCCTCTCTATGCCCATGCAGTCCGAGGTGACTCTAGGTAAGAGCTCAACAGCCACTTCCTGGGTGAGGGGAGACGGGGAAGGGACCTGCAGAGATTATCAGGTCTACCCCAAATCTTCTGAATATCTGGGGATTGGTTCTCTGCATCTTTCCATGGCTGTTTCATAGGTGGCTTTAGAAAGAACTCAAGAAGATCCAGCAGACAATTTTGGAGAGAGGGATATTTTTCTCAAGGGGCATCAGGGGTCACCTCTCTTCCCCTAAACCAGGGATGTCCAACCTTGGGAACTTTAAGACACTCCTGACCTAGAGTTTTGGACTTAAAAGTTGCCAAGGTTGGACACTCCTGACCTAGCTCTTTGTGGGCCTCTGGGAGTTGAAGTCCACAAGTCTTAAGGTTGGACACTCCCGACCTAGACCTTTGTGGGTCTTTTGGGAATTGAAGTCCACAAGTCTTAAGGTTGGACACTTCTAACCTAGACCTTTGTGGGCCTCTGGGAATTGAGGTCCACAAGTCTTAAGGTTGGACCCTCCTAATCTATGTGGGCCTCTGGGAGTTGAGGTCCACAAGTCTTAAGGTTGGACACTCCTGACCTAGCTCTTTGGGGACCTCTGGGAGTTGAAGTCCACAAGTCTTGAAATTGCCAAGTTGTACATTCTTGACCTAGACCTCTGTGGCCTCTGGGAGTTGAAGTCCAAAAGTCTTAAGGTTGGACACTCCTAATCTAGATCTTTGTGGACCTCTGGGAGTTGAAGTCCAGAAGTCTTGAAATTGTCAAGTTGTACATTCTTGACCTAGATCTTTGTGGGCCTCTGGGAGTTGAGGTCCACAAGTTGTAAGTTTGGACACTCCTAACCTAGACCTTTGTGGGCCTCTGGGAGTTGAAGTCCACAAGTCTTAAGGTTGGACCCTCCTAATCTATGTGGGCCTCTGGGAGTTGAGGTCCACAAGTCTTAAGGTTGGACACTCCTGACCTAGCTCTTTGGGGACCTCTGGGAGTTGAAGTCCACAAGTTTTGAAATTGCCAAGTTGTACATTCTTGACCTAGACCTCTGTGGGCCTGTGGGAGTTGAAGTCCACAAGTCTTAAGGTTGGACACTCCTAATCTAGATCTTTGTGGACCTCTGGGAGTTGAGGTCCACAAGTCTTAAGGTTGGACACTCCTAATCTAGATCTTTGTGGACCTCTGGGAGTTGAGGTCCACAAGTCTTAAGGTTGGACACTCCTGACCTGATCCAACTGCTTGGTCCAACTGCTATCTTGGGCCTCTTTTTCTTAGCATGAGCTAGGAGAAGATTACCTGCTGTTCTGTACGGAACTATTCCTGAGAAGGTCGTCCTGATCAAACCAACAGGCTGGCCTTTCCAAGGAAAGGAACGAATGCCTCCCACCAGGAATGGAAGCCCCCAACCCTTCATCCCTCCTCCCTTCTCTCTCCCTTTGCCTCTCTTCCTGTTCCAGAGATGATTACAGCCTGCGTTTTGTCCCTGCCTGCTCGCCCTTTCATTAAATTTAATGGGCTCCTGGTGCCATTCACAGGAACAAGAAGAAGATATTCTGATATCTCTTCCCAACCAAGATCTTTTTTAAACAAAAAACAAAAAAAACCGCACTCTTCATTTCCTACATATTTATTCTCCTCTTCATTTTGTTCTACCTTCCTGGCTGGCTCATTAATTGAGGACCCCTTTTTAAAGGCGGTCGCGAAAGCCGCCGGATTTCTCTCGCCTTTTATTCTTGCTCTCGTGGCGAGAACCCTCCAGGCTAATGAACTTTGGCAGGCACGAAATCCGAGCAGTAAAAGAAACGGATGAAGCATCCTTTCCTGCTGTCCTTCCTCTCTGCCATCCATCCAGGAACCAACGGGAGGAATGAATCCGGACAGGTCTCCTTAATTTGCTAGCCCCCGAGTCGAAAGAAGCAGCCGGTGGCTTTAGCATCCTGCCTTCCACATCCTTTTTCTCCCCCCCCCTCACCACTGGAAAGCAGCAGCAGCGTTCGAACACGTCACCTTCAAAGGGATTTGAGTGTCAGTTCAGGACACGGAGATTTGACTGGGTTGGTTCAGAAGTCTATCTCTGGCTGCCAAAGCCTGGTGGCGGCTTTGCCCAGCCAGATGGGGAGGGGAGGATGGGATGGATGGATGGCACCATTCGCCCCGTTGCAATCCGTTTTGAGTAGCGTTTACACCGGGAGGGGCTAAGCTCCACCATTCATCAGCCTTGCTGTCTTTTTCAGAGTTCTCTCTCTCTCTCTCTCTCTCTCTCTCTGTCTGTCTCTGTCTCTCTCTTCTCTGTCTGTCTGTCTGTCTGTCTCTCTCTCTCTCTCTGTCTCTTCTCTGTGTCTCTGTCTGTCTGTCTGTCTGTCTGTCTGTCTGTCTCTCTCTCTCTCTCTCTCTCTCTCTCTCTCTCTCGTGCGCGCACTAGGAAAGGGGGCAAAATCTCCATCAGAAGAGCCCTTAATCACTTTGGAGAAGTGATTAAACATCCTTTTCTTGATCCAGCTCCTATCTTAGCCCTCCTTTCTCTTCACCCCGGCTAGGAGAAGATTACCTGATGTTCTTTAAGGCGCTAATCCCGGGAAGGGTGTCCTGATCAAACGCTTCATTGAGTTGCGTCTTTCTAAGGGCTTCTCTGTCTCTGTCAAGCCCAGCATTTACATATTAAAGACAAAATACCTTTTATGTTAATCTCCCCGTGGAAAAAAAACTGCCTTTGGCTGAGGGAGACATACATCTTACACATCCAGAATAATAGGGCTTGGTCAAAATGACGGTTGGCTTGGAAGGAAGAAATCCAAGACTCTCTTTCACTAGGTTTTTTTTGGGAATCGACTGCTTCTCTGCTCGTGGATCCCTGCCAGCCTCGGAGAGGAATCCATCTTGACTCCGTTCAGTTGAATTGATTCTGGTGGAGGATTCAGATCATCAAGCAGGATTGGGGGTTTTATTTTTTTTTAAAAAAAAGTCCACCAGTGTTGAAACCAGACATGGTCTGGTCCAGAATTGATCCGAATTCATCTAAGTACATTTTAGACCCTTTTAGTCAACAAGTAAGCTTGACTCAGTTCGATAATCCTGGAGCAAAACTGCAAACAAATTGCCACGCTCCTAGTGGTGTTGAACCAGTGGTGTTTTTTTTTTTTAAGCTTTCCACCAAACACAGATGTTTTTTTTCCCCCAGAGTTGGAGGATGCTGTGCCTCGTGCTGAAAAAGCTCCTTTTCCCCTCTGCAAGTTCCAGATTTTTCTTAGTCCTCTGTTTCGCTTTGTAAAAATTCCAGCCCTCCTCAAATTACTTTTTCAGTTCGGATGCATTTCAGTTCGGATGCATTGATCTGTTCCTCTGCAAGTAAATTCCTGGGGGAATGGAAAAGAAATGTAGAAATGACAAGGTACTCCTAACCAGACATTTTATTCCTGTGCTGCTGATAGAAGAAAACCTCAAAGGATTCAAGGTTTTGGCCGCTGCAGTGTAGGCACTCTTGGTTTCAAATGCTCTTCCCCCTTCATTGGTCTCCAAAACATAAGGACTCGCTTTTTAGTAGAGGGATAGTAAATTAAAGGTGGTTGGTAAAAATGAAGTGGGGCTATGGCATTTTCTCAGTAAGTATTCTGGAACTTACCCATTTTCTACTGGGTAGAATGGCAGTTAAGTAATCCAATTCCTTGCTCTTTGGGAGGAAGATGTGGGAATCCGGGTTGAGGGAAACGGGCTGAATCCACCAAGTAGCCTGGAAGGAATGCTGCGTTTGCCTTAATCCTGCTCTGAAGCCTTTGATCAGAGATGTTTTCTTTTACAATCAGGATTAATGAACGGTTGGCAACCTCTCTTAAGTTCTACCTCGGTGTGACGGGCACTCAAGGGACCTGGTGTTTCAGCACCGTGGAGAGCTCCAGTGAAGCCTGGTGTTGACTCAGGGACAGTCCTGCAGATTCTTCCTGCTGGGAAAGGCGTCTCCCAAGCAACTCCCATTCTGCCAACTCGTCAGATTCGGTGCTTTTGGTTTTTTTTTTGTGCCAAGATCTGAGACCCATCACCACACCATTCTTCAAACTAAGGACCTTTTTGGATAGAGCTCTGTTCCCAGAAATACAAGTCGGGAAGCACCAACTTCATTCTTGGTAGGTGTCTATAGAGATTCTCAGTCATCCAGGTGATGGTTGTCCCAAAGATGCTTTTTTTTCACAAGGCAACTGGACTTCCTTGTTTTTCCTTTGAAGACGTTTCGCTTCTCATCCAAGAAACGTCTTCAGCCCTGACTGGATGGTGGGGAATGGAAGGATTTATACTCCTTGCAGAGTCATTTGCATTCTTTTAGAGGGTCGTTGAGGCCACTTGGAGGTTTATCTGTGTCCTCAGGGTCACCTGAGTGGTGCAAATGACGCACATTCACCTGAGCACACATTTGCACTATTCAGGTGACCCTGAGGACACGGGTAAACCTCCAGGTGGCCTCAACGACTCTCTAAAAGAAGGCAAATGACCAGCTGTCTGCAAGGAGTATAAATCCTGGTCATTTGTCTTCTTTTAGAGAGTCCTTCAGGTCATTTGGAGGTTTACCACAGGGTCACCTGTGGTGCAAATGGGTGTGGAGCTTTCTTGGAACTGCTGAAAGGACTGCGTGGTAGACTGGACTTCCTTGTTTTCCCTTTGAAGACTTTTGGCTTCTCCTCCAAGAAGCTTCTTCAGCTCTGACTGGATGGTGGAGAATGGAAGGATTTATACTCCTTGCAGAGAGTTGGTCATTTGCCTTCTTTTGGAGAGTCGTTGAGGCCACCTGGAGGATTATCTTGTGTCCTCAGGGTGTCATGGGCCATCTATGTCGAAGAGGTCGTCTGTGTCAAAGTTGAACAGCCCTCTCTCAACAGAGGGGGAGGGATACGACAACAGGTGGCCTCAATGACTCTGGAAGGAGCGTAAATCTTTCCCTTCCCCACCATCCAATCAGAGCTGAAGAAGCTTCTTGGATGAGAAGCGAAAGGTCTTCAAAGGAAAAACAAGGAAGTCCACTTGCCTCGTGAAAAAGCATCTTTGGGCCATTCTTGGTAGGTGAGCCTCTACATCAGTCAGGTGAAGGACTTTACTCACCTGGCCAAAAAAGATGAACTTTCTTTGAACTGGTTGTGAAGAACCTCATTCTGTAGCTCTTCAGATCCCAAAAGGATCCAGCCTCTTCAGGCGACGAATTAGAAGGTCTAGCATGTTCAACCATGAATGGCAGCTGTTAGAGAATATTGAGGTTTCATTCTCACTTGCAGCCTTTCCTGAGATCCTTCATTGACCACTGTTGGACCAGAAGGCTTTGCCATTTTTATCCCAGAATTCTTCTGGCTTGAAGTCCACCCATCCCCGAATCTGGAAGCAAACCAAGCTACAATTTTGATCGTAATGTTAAGCCACCTCAACGTTTCTTAGGATGGAGAGGTCCACTCTTAAACTCCCAAGACATCCAAGCATGGACATCTGGAAGTTGCAGTCCAGCCTCTCGGAAGGCAAAGAATTAAAAGAATTCCGGTTTCTTGTTATGGATACCGTTGCCTTTTCTCTGTGTGGGTCTCTTCAAAGGAACAGAGGAGATGCTGCTGATCTCTCAAAAATAATAAAATCAAGCTTTTTTAAGGATGTTTTTTTTCCTCTCTTCTCCATTCCATTTGATCACACGGTGCCCGTTTCAGTGGTTAGCGTTGTTCCAAGCCAAGAGGACAACAGCTGAGGAGGGAATATGTTATCGGTACCAGGAGAGAAATTGCTAAATTTTGTGGCAAAGTGTCTTATCCCATCTACCTTCAGATTGCAAGTCAGTTGTGCTAGGATTTAACAGGAGGAGGAGGAGGAGGAGGAGGAAGAAGGAAGAAGAAGAAGGAAGAAGAAGAAGAAGAAAAAGAAGAGGAGGAGGAGGAGTAGGAGTTGGAAGGGACCTTAGAGGTCTTCTAGTACTATTCCAGTCAAATGGCTGTCCAATCTCTTCTTAAAAACCTCCAGCGATGGAGCACCTACAACTTCTGGAGGCAAGCCGTTCCACTGATTAATGGTTCTCGGTCAGGAAATTTCTCCTTCGTTGGTCCTCTCCTTGATCAGTTTCCATCCGTTGCTTCTTGTTCTGGCTTCAGGTGCTTTGGAGGGTAGGCTGATCCCCTCTTAAAGGAAACCATGTTGAAAAGAAGGGTTCCTACAACGCCCAGATCCAGAGAGCCCCCAATCCATTTAATATAGTTAACGGGGTGTGTGAATCGTGGTGGCGCAGCGGTTAGAAGGCAGTACTGCAGGCTAACTCACACTGCTCATGCCAGGAGTTCGATTCTGAACGCTCAAGGTTGACTCAGCCTTCCATCCTGGAAAAAGAAAGCCTCAATCTCTCTGCAGACAGTTGGAGAAAAAATGGGTGGGGTCCTGCCTTCTCCCCTGGCATTATTGCCTGCGTCTCTGCCGAAGACTTTTTAAGGTGTCCTTTTAAATGACATTTAACATTCGTTTTTGCTTTGATATCTCTAAAAGCGGTTTCACGTCTTGGATCCAGTCTGGATTTTTCGGACGGACGGCTGACTTTTGAGCAAAAAAGACTCTCTGAAGTTGCTCTATTCCTTGAGACAAGCATTGCTGAGCTGCTGAAGCTGTCGGCAGGCTGGGAAACCGTGACCAACCGAGCTGGCATTTTTGTTTTCCAGTCCTTGCCTCCCTCCCCAAAAGCGATCCCACGGAGCCGAGGGCTGCGTTCACACCGCTTACCAACCAGCAGATGCCCTCACCCCCAAAAGGCTAAGATTAGAACCATTGGAACCATGGTTAACTAATGATAGTTAATCCTTAATAGGCTGCAGGAATTTACCTTTGTTGGTTTGTATATTACAGGTAAACACTGGTCACTTAGTGACCGAACTTACCATGTCCACCTGTGCCCCCCCCCCAGTGTCATGTGGCTGCATTTTGGCACTCAGCAAATATATATTTGCATTTAAAGTTTCCAGCAAAAAATGCCCGTAATGAACAAGTTAATGACCATGCCGTCTGCTTTATGACCGCTATGTTTGTTTAACAACTGCTGCAAAATGGGGAAGATCATGTGATAACCTGCTTCACAACTGCCGTGATCAGAATGCAGGCTCAATTACAGTCATCAGTCGAGGGGAACCTGTATTCAGCATTGTGTAAATCCAGTAATCAGGTTGAGTAGAGTAGAGTAGAGTAGAGTAGAGTAGAGTAGAATAGAATAGAATAGAATAGAATAGAATAGAATAGAATAAAGAGAGATGGAATAGAACAGAACAGAATAACAGAGTTGGAAGGGACCTTGGAGGTCTTCTAGTCCAACCCCCTGCTCAGGAAGGAAACCTAATACCATTTCAGACAAATGGCTGTCCAGTCTCTTCTTAAAAACTTCCCATGTTGGAGCATTCACCCCTTCTGGAGGCAGGTTGTTCCACTGGTTAATTGTTCTCACTGTCAGGAAGTTTCTCCTTAGTTCTAGGTTGCTTCTCTCCTTGGTTAGTTTCCATCCGTTGCTTCTTGTCCTGCCTTCAGGCGCTTTGGAGAAGAGCTTGACTCCCTCTTCTTTGGGGCAGCCCCTGAGATACTGGAACACTGCTATCCTGTCCCCCCTGGTCCTTCTCTTCATTAGACTAGACATCCCCAATTCCTGCAACCGTTCTTCATATGTTTTAGCCTCCAGTCCCCTGATCATCTTTGTTGCTCTTCTCTGTACTCTTTCTAGAGTCTCAACCTCTTTTTTACACCGTGGTGACCAAAATTGGATGCCGTATTCCAAGTGTGGCCTTACCAAGGCCTTGTAAAGTGGTATTAGCACTTCACGTGATCTTGATTCTCTCCCTCTGTTAATGCAGCCCAGCACTGTGTTGGCTTTTTGGGCAGCTGCAACACACGGCTGGCTCATATCTAAGTGATTGTCCACTAGGACTCCGTGATCCCTCTCACAGTTACTACTATTGAGCAAGGTACCCCCTGTACTATACCTGTACATTTGGTTGTCAATATTTGCAGGGATGGTGGAAAAAATGGGGAGGGGGAGATAAGTGGGACCCCAGGAGAACACGACGGTCTAACCCATTTCCTTTTCCTGCAGTGGCTCCAAAGGGCCCCAAAATTATGATGACCCCCACAAGAGCCCGCGTTGGAGACACGGTCCGTATCCTGGTCCAAGGATTTCAGGTGTGTATGACACTCATCATCCCCCCTCCTCCCACTTCCCAAAATCCATCCCCCCTGCCCCAACTCAAAGACCTCCTTTGCTTGTTAGGCCCATTTTGATGTTCATCTTCTAGGTCAGTTCTGGGAATAATTGAATAGGCTTTTTTTTTTAAAAAATGACTAAGACAGACAATTGTGTACCGAAGAAGACCAGCCAGCTGTGAAAGAAACACCCGCATTAATTTGCTTGCTGTGACTAACTGGTCTTGCAAACACCGAGGGGTGTTTGTTTGTGTGTATGTCGTGGCAGCTAAAAATCAGATAAATTGATAGTCCTAGAAGCTTTCTTAGCTTCCCTTTTTTTTTCTGCCAGGTGTGTGAGAGACTTGAAAACTAACACACTGGGTGGCTGCTGCAGAGAGGGAGGGAAGGTGTGTATGTGTAGTTCTTCATGTGGCTCATCCCCTGTGGATTTGCTCTGCGACCCCAAGCATCTGGTGTAAAGTTGGCAAGCTTTGGATGGGTAGATGGATGGATGCTCTTGTGGATGGTCCTCAACCAGATGTTGTAGGAACACATTCCAAGCCAAAGAGGCCAGTTCTCCATCAGTGTAGTGCACAGCTCACGTTCAGGCACCAAGTGTGACATCCTGGGTCTTTCTAGTGAAGGGGAAAGCGATTTATTCTCACACCTGGCCCTGAGGTGGGCCTCCAGGGGGTGAACAGAGAGATGAAAACTCAGCAGAGGTGGAGAAGGACTATTGCTTAGAGCGTCAACAATTCATCTCTGCTTCAAAGACTTAGAACAGGGGTCTTCAAACGTGGCCCTTTGATGACTGGTGGACTTCAACTCCCAGAATTCCTCAGCCAGGCACGCATGCCTGGCTGAGGAATTCTGGGAGTTGAAGTCCACAAGTCATAGAAGGGCCAAGTTTGAAGACCCCTGGCTTAGAAAGTGGAGAGCCGAGATGG